GGGCCAAAACATTTCTTGTCTCCCTCCAATACGCGGCGATTTATCGCCTCCGATTCTTGGTACCTCCCTTGCTCCCGCAGCACCTGAGCCAGGTTGCTGACAACCGTCAAGGTATTAGGGTGGTCTAACCCGGAAGTGTTCTCCAAGTCCTTTAGCGCCTCAAGAAATATCACCTCTGCCTCCCTTGCCCTTCCTTGGTACCAGTGCAACTCTCCTAAGAGTGTATTTCGAGAGATGCTCTCACCGTCCCAGTCTCGTTCTTTATCTGCCTCTCGAAGGGCAAGGCATTGGCGGACTTGAATCTCGGCATTATTATAGGAGCCCATTTCCATATAATGCTTTCCCATGCGGTAGACAAGGTCCTCGGAAATTGTATTCGTTGAATCCCTAGTTAATACTAGTGCATGAGACATGTAAGCCGCACAAATATTCCGGCGTTTGTACTCATACTCAGGGAACGTCCTTGACACAGCCTGCAGTCCAGCAATCCTCCCCTGATTGGCCTGTTCTATTGATAAATATGCCTGAATGGAGAGTTGGACCAAACGATGAAGCTCGTAACAGGGTGTGCCTTCAAGTTTGACCTCCGTAACCAATGAGAACCTCGATAGTGTCCCAATCGCCTGACAAAACTTAAGCGAATCATCCATGCCCACCAGTCCAGAATGAATCAGTAGCTCCTCGGGTATGTATTGACGATCAAGGGATGCCATTAGCCCGAGAAGTTTCACCATTAGGGGCATTTTTTCGGTGATTCTGTCAAAGGTGATGAAGTAAGTTCCGAGGATACTTTCGGTCATGTCGACCTCTCGCTGGATATCGTAAAACTGCTCCGAAAGTAGCTCTTTTGTTCGTTTATCATTCTCCTGGAAAATCGACCAGTAGGCGGAGGGCGATGTCCCATTCTCAGCCATGAAAGCTGCGGAACCGACAACCGCCAGTGGTAGATGATCCATCGAGTCTAATATCCCCGAAACAGCCCCTTTTTCCACCTCCCCCAAACCGTGCCAACCATCAAAGCGTTTTGAGAACAGATCCTGGGCCTCTTCCGGCTCCATCTTATCAACCTTAATAATTTTACAGCCCTGTCGGATTGCCACCTGTCGAGATCTAGTCGTGAATAACACGGTTCCTTCACGCCCTTGTGGCACAAACTTGGAAATGGGGCTAGTGCTCCCAATATAGTCGGCTTCATTGTCGGCATTGTCAATAACTAGGATCCAGTCACCACTTTCGGGACCTTCGAGCCATGTCTTTGTACGCCGGAGCAGTTCCTCTACGTCCTTCTCAGTCCCCACCTGAGATCCTCGGACATGCTGTGCAATAGCCTTGAAACCCTCCGTAAATTTCAAAACCCCACTTCCCTGCACCCAAAAAACATGACAGCGCCCCTCACTGGAATGCCGGTAAACGTGTTCTAGAGCAATCTGGGTCTTTCTAAGTGGCATTAGTAAATCTCATACAAGTACAAGGGAACACCAAATACATACCCACAACCCCCCAACCCATGAAGTGCGACTCGGTTATGAGCCGAACCTTTGCAAATTTCTTTTATCGACTCAATGAGATTCTCACGGCCAGTAAATGCGCCATTCCTGCAATAGGGAACCATCCAGTACGGCCTCGATGCATCTCCTGGTTCTATTAGCACGTCAGCTTCTAGAGAGATATCCGCGGAGAAACTTTAATACCTCCACCCCTTCCCCTCATTGCCTGCGCTTCACTTGTCCCTCCTGGGTTTGTCATGTCGCGGGGCATCTGCATACTAAAGATAATGTTGCCATTGCCAATGATATTGCGGTTACCCGAATTCCTGCTGAAGCTCCCGTCAATAGCGGATCGCACTTGACTACCCCTACAAAGATTATTAGAAGTGCGGCGTAGAAGGATAAGGATACCCACCCATCCATCGGCTCAATAATATTTTTGGTTTACTGGGAAGCTATATTTGAAGGTTGGATACCGTGCTAGCAAGCAGTACTCGGGTCTCGTAGCTCGCTTGATTGAAGCCAAAATGGCCGCCTCCTGGTTATTGATCGAAGTAATCGAAAACTATCCTTTCCCTAGCCAACTTGAAAGAATACCGTAGGTCGATAGGGAGGGGGTGTGCTCGACCGTGGGTCTAACCCCAGATATGGAAATGAATACCGTATGGTAGGTCCTCGGTTTTGATTCTGTTGTGGCCTGGAACCCTAAATAGTGGTGTTAGAGTCTAGTACGGTGGAAGTGAAAGGTTTGGCGCATACTGGGGCTTAGAAATGGAGGTGGAAATCCAGAAATAGGAAAACAAAAGCATGGGCTGGGTGGCGAAGGAGTGGGATTCAGAATGCGGAAAAATAGAAATGTACGAGTACGAGTACAGTACAAGTATCTTGTGTTTCACCACGCGTTCAGCCCTCGGTAAGCTTGGACAAGTGATTGGTCCAGCTTTAGTTGGGGTCTCCACCAGGGAAATTTTAGCCGCGACTATTCAGGTGGATATTCACTCTTTCCCCCTGAAAAAACGAAAGAATCACAAGAGCCCCACAACCGTGCAGCGGATTCCTAAAGTACTAGGACAAAAGGGATCGTCCGATTGGTGGTTACCAAGCAACACCTCAAAAACCCCACCTCCTTAATCAACCACTCCTCAGCAACCATGCCTCTCAAAAAGACAGGCTATCTTACAGAGTTTGAGAGAAGGCAAATTTTTGCTCTAAGGAAGTAAAATATTGCTTTTTCTGAGATTGGAGAGCTCTTTCATCCCCTCAAGAGTACAGTTCAAAGTTTTTACAATGAGTTTCAAATGATAAGTAATGGAAAGAACTGCCCATTTACTGAAAGACTTAAAATTATTGATATCAGAATCTGTTGCTACCTAGTCAGAGAGTCCAAGAAGGTATGCTACCAGCCCTTATCAGAATTGTGCAATGGTGTTGCATCCTGTGCCTCTGTTAAGACAATCAAGTAAGTATTAACTTTAGTCAATATAAAGAGGTCAAAGTAGGGAAAAGAGTATTTCTGAAGAATGAACATACTATCAAGAAGTTGGACTGGGTAAAGGAGTATAAGAATAGAGTAAAAAAAACTTTGAAAGTGTCATTGTTAACAATAAATACATGGTTGAAAAGTCTAAATATTTTAAGAATATGTAGATGCTTAGAATACCTTAGAAAAATTGCATAAGGACTGTATTCAAAGAGTAATGAAAGTGTAACGTGTTTGTACCGGGGTGCTAGTTACGCTTCCAGGTACAATAGGAGTAGCGCACAAGTTGATCTACAACTTATGGGCGTACAGCACTAAGCGTAACGACTCTATGTTATAGAGCTATGGCAACCTATATCTACAAGTATACATGAGACCAAAAGGTCCCGTGGTAGACTAGGAGGACATGAAAGAGCATGTCCAAGGGATGTCCGATGGTCCGGGTATCCTGTAGAACAGAAGGTACTTAAGGAATAGGTGTACCTAGGTAGCGTGTAAAGTGACTTTGTTCGTTCCGGCCTAAGGATAGGACAGAAGGCCAGGTAAGTTTACCCTGTCTAGGAAAGTCACGTTACCCTGCTATGGAGACTAGTTTCGTGTCACCATGGACATACTTACCTTACCTCAGGGGCACTATTACCCTACCTTCCATCAGGAAAGTTCTCAGCAGAATTTCGGGAACTGATAGAATTATTTGTTACGCAATGACGATCAACCGGTACTTGTTTGCACACTGATCGGAAGACTACGGAAGGGGCTATAGTGCTCCGAACAAGCTGTAACTTTACAGAATAACTGCTAAGAGGTACCTGCGGCCCCAGGGTTCACCCCGGGCATCATGGGCCAAAATGGGTGGAGTTGCCATCTTACTAGTTAAAAGGAATCATTGGAGACATGTCCATAACACTGTATACATCGCTGCCATCCGTCCGACCGGAAGCTGTTCGCAGGATATATAAGGGGGCTAGGTGAGAAGGTGAAGTACCTTCTCCACAAAAGAATGGAGTAAAATGGACCAAAACTGACGGAGTTAGTGTGAGCTATCCAGAAGGGTCCCCAAAGTAGTCCCGGGTAGTGCCAGAGACATCTGGGAAGGTTTTACGCCAATCAAGCCTACATATGCCCCTTTGCTGTAGGCTCTTTACGCGTTGTTGAAAGACTCAAATAGTATGATACTTATCATGGTGAGTGGTGTGCCGGGGGTAAGGGATTATGGGTAGCGCCCATGAGTTTCGCTGCCATCACAGCTCTTCGTGGGAGCGCTGTAGACCCTCTAAGTTTGCAATCTTGATAGATAGAACTTAGCCAGGAAGACAGCTGATGTCTACGAGCGCTTGCATAGGTCATAGCACATGAGAAGAGAGTCATTTAGTTAGCTTTCCTAGGAGTCTTGACAGTTAGCCACTAGCGAGACTGCGATGCGCAGAAGTTTTCACTCCGGCAGGTGTATTGCCAGTGGTAAACACCTCGCAGAAACAGATATGCAGATGTGTTAAGAATCCTGCCGGGTAGGTGAGTAAAGTAACAGGTAACGATTCTTACTTGTGCGAGGTGATAGCTTCTTAGGCCTATGCCTACGCGGTAACGATAGTCGAGTCTGTTGACTCCTATCTGATCGCCGCGCCTATCCCTCTATTCTTCTAAGTCCGTACTTAGTACTTCAGCAGTTGTCGTGAGATGAGAAATAGTTTTCTCGTATGGGAGGAAAGACAATTCTCGAGTTTCTTAAGATAAATCTTCAAAGAGCGTAAAGGTAGGTTTTATTGATAAACTTAAAGGTAGGAAATAAACAAGAAGAACGTGTGAAGAGCTAATACTAGGGGTCCTAGTAACCCTTTACATAGTAGCTCTTCACCTGGCGTGACTCATACTTTTGCGTCACGCAAACCTTATGACTCATAACTATGAGTCACGCCAAATCCATCAGTCGACTCCTATGAGTCACTGCGCAATGTACCTAAAACCAATCAAAACATAATAACCCAGTCAGGTGCGCAACTCACGTCACCTGAGCGAAACCCATGACTCATAATTTGAGTCATGTGCAAAAATCATAACATCGTGTGACTCACAACTGTGAGTCACCAGCAGGTAAACATAATAACCTATGGCGCACTATTGTGCGTCATGTGAAATTCCAACATACCTATAGCTCAGCATTCCGAGCTATGTAAAATCCACCTTGCTTAGTCACAGTTTGTGATATTAGCTCCCCTCTCCCTCAGCCTGAGTCCCATCGGGC